TTTACCAAAGTGAAAAGCTCAGCAAACATGTCTTCGATACAAAGGCATTTGCGTCTATTATTCTATCATGTCTCGGTCCCTTTAATGTTGGTTTTTTTAAAGAATACATTTAAAATGAAAAAGGAAAGGAAAAAGACTATGTTTTTATAATATTGACATTTTTCTTTTATGATTTTACTACAACACATATATCTAAATAATTTATATGGATAAATATATAAATAGAATATATATATAGAAAATTTATTATAATATAGAGCAATAAACGTCTTTTTAGATTTCTTCTGTTTTCGACCGCAACACTTGTAGCCAAATCGCAGTTTAAACGATAGCCCGTCGTAACAGTCCAACAAGCAAAAGTAAAAACGACAAAATGGGGTCACACGTCCAACCTTCACTTTCACGATTTTGTAAATTTGTTCCGCCCCAATAAAGAAAATCTATCTTTATAAGCGCAAAACAACGGCTTTGGTTCATCGAGAGATCTTTCTGATTGTTCACGCCATCCAGGGGAGGGGATGAACATTAGCATAGATTCTAGTCATTGAAGTGGATTTTTCCTAACTACATTTTGGTAATTTTTCTTCGGCAGATCGCACAGAGAACATGGTAACTGATTATCTCTTTCACTACAACATGGTCTACTTTTTTGTAGAATAGAATTTTAGACATTCTTTCGAAATCGATAAAAAAAAAACAATATTTTTCAGTTCCGAAAAGTGCCCCGTCATTTTAGATTTTTTAAATTTCTAATCTACAAAAATTATTTCCCACATAAACTACTCTATTTTTTTAAACCAGTGAATTTATGTAACAGTTGTAAATCCACTTATTTTTTACCCATTACACATTTCAGTCTTAATTAAAATTCAAAATACCTCCCATTCAGGTTCATGATTCTTTAGTTTTTATTTCAATTGCTTTAGGAAACTTTGTGGGGGCTGGTATCATTACGAGCGGGCTTGCCCTTTTATTCCACGGTATTAACGTTTTCACATTCGGTAGCGACATGGATGCACTGAAAATCCGCTTGGTTTAGAGAATATTCCTTTCACACTGACTTAGGTTGTCATCGTCTTTTATGAATGAGCAACATTTCTTTCATTTGCTTTCAATTATTAAACAAATATGTATTATCATTGGTAGTTGCATAGTGCATATGTGACGATGAACGATCGACATTTATCATAGACTTTTAACAGTAAGTAGATAAGTGATAAAGTTAAATAGTGACCTTGTGAGATAGTAGAAAAAGGGATCCGTAAATAAAACCGGTTAGCAAAATAGATAAGCCTTGTCATATGTTGCTACATCAATGAACCAATGACTTTCTTCAGAGATGAAACTATCGAATGTCTCAAAAATATGAAGAGTGCGGTAAAAAGCCAGAGCCAAAATTAATAGTACCTAAACCCTGACAATTTAATCAATTTGCAAATCGTCGATTGTAACGGTTATTTTTCAAACATGCGATGGCGTCTCGCAGGGAGGTCAAAGATTTTGCGGAAAATAAGGAATATTTGCAAGTTACTTGCGGCTTGTTAATCTATCTCTCTTTGAGCCTCAGTCACTGGCCCAACGTTATTCACGTGTTCTGGAACAACGAAGGATAACACCTTCATTATATCGAATTTGTTGTCAGAACATAACACGCCCTCTAGCAACAGCAATAGTTCTAGAAGGATCAATCAAATTTTATATATACATGTGTGTGTGTGTGTGTGTGTGATAAAATATAATTTTACAGTATGCTTCATTTATAGGTAAATGTGCTACATATCAGAGATAGAGCGTTTGTAAATGTGTAATTGGACATAGTTAAATACCAAGCGGCGACAGTCTGTTTCAGACTTGAACGCAATCTTCAGGCCTGGATATTTCATTCCAAGAGGAAACAGACTGTCGCCGATTCGTATTGATCTCAGTTTATATATTTTCATTCTCTTTATACGTTATTTTGGTAGATAAAATTTATTTAAGTAAATGGTATGCTTTTATTTAAGCAGTATTAATTATATTTACTAGTCTGAATGTTAGAGAACTTAATCCATTTTATATATATATATATATATATATATATATATATTTATTATTTGGTTGGATAAATGTGAGTTTGTGACCATAGGTTTCATGGATAATGACGATCGTCAGACAAACTGATTAATTTTTTTAAATTTTGGGTTTATGTAGATTGCGCAATCAAAGATAAACCCAAAATTTAAAAAAAATTTAATCAGTGTGTCTGACGATCGCAAGTTTTTCGTGAAAATGAAAGGGTCAGAAAAATCACATCTATCCAACCAAATATTTTAGCTCTATTCTGATAAAATTGCTTAATCAAAAAGTACCGCGCATATTATATATATATATATATATATATATATATATATATATATATATAGAGAGAGAGAGAGAGTATTTTATAGAAAATGTTCGTTAGTATTAATTAAGCATCGGGATGATGCAAAGAACGCCACAGATGTTACAGATGTCTTCATGGCAAAAAGTCAAATATTTAATTTTTTTTTTTTTTTTTTACTCCCTTTTCACCCAATACAAGATCCATGAGACACTCAAGGTAGAAGGTTAACGAGTGGGATTGTTGTAAGGGAAAGTGAATGAAGAAATAAGAAGAGCCTATTATGAATACATGTGGAGTAGTTATCGTTTGAATCTGGATTAAAACCGACCATGATTGTAGTTGTCAGGAATGCATCCTCTCGACAGTCAGTTCCTCAGCCTAACATTTCTGGGGAATAAACTGTCTGTGTAGAACTTGCTCCTTACAAAATGAAACAAAAAGAAATGGAGACACGTTGCTTGAGCGAACATAGATTTTTTTTTAGCTGTAAATATTTCAGCTATTGCAACTGTTGAACGCACACCGTCCGAATATCTGCCATAGTAACATTGACAGAATATTTAGAGGCTACCAACGTTTCGTCTCTTGGATATAAGTAGCAAGGTGGTGAACAATTCATCACTCACAAGGCCGCGTAATCACATTAAACTCTCAAAGTAAGAAAGTGAGTATGGTATAAATACTGTATTCGTATTTAAAATATTATAATAGACAAGATTATTTTCTATGATATAAATCGTCCTTAAACTATGCAAACAATTATGATTCTGAGGGTATCTCCTTAGTTAATCTGAGATTATCTCTTTAGCTGATTTTCATTACATGTAGAGACATGCTTTGAAAATCGGTCATTTTAAAAATTATGACTTATAAAAATGGTAAAATGCCTTAAGAAAGAAAACAGAACTTTTAAAAATTCAATCTGTGAAATAATTGTAACAATCAATTTGGCATCAAATGCAAGACAAAGTGCATAAAAAAGTATTGCATCGGAAATTGCAAAGCAGAATGTGCTAATTGAAATTGTCTACTGAAACTTTTTTGAATATGCTAAGAGAACGGAAACATGGGAACAACTGAGTGAATCGGTGTAAAGATCTGTGTACGAAAAGCAAAGTGATGGTTAAAAAGCTATAGAAAAGTAATAGCAAAAACTGAAAAGAAATTGTATTAAAGCTGGGGAAATGTTAAATCTAGAAAAGAGTAAAAATGGGAGTGACAGAAATTGATATTAAACATCATTAAATAAAATATAACATGTAAAGTGTTAAAAGTACGGAAATTAGAAGGAAAATAAAGTGTATATAAATATTTGATACGTGAAGGAAAGGAAAAAATAGTGAAAAAAAAAAGAAAGTATGAATATAAAAGGAAAAATGAAACAAGAATGAACGAAGTGGCAGGGTGAAATATGGAGAGAAGAAGTGTCAGGCAAGTGAATGAAAGAAAGAAGAGGCGAGGGCGAAAATGAATGAAAGTGCAAGCAATTACGGAAAGGAACGAAAGAAAGAAAAGGCAGATAAAGAAACGAAAGAAATAAAGAAAATGTGGATAGAGAAAAGAACTAAAGAAAGAACAGGCGGATATGGAAACGAATAAAAGAAAAGGAACATACGGTAAAGAAAGAAAGAACAGTAAGTTTCGGTAATGAGGGAAAGAACAAAAAAGGCAGATATGGTAGAGAATTAAGGAAAAACAACAGACAGATACGGAAATGAAAGAAAGAACAGGCGGATATGGAAAAGAAAGAAAGACAAAAAACTGGCAGATACGGAAATCAAAAAGAAAAAAAAAAACAGGTGGATAGAGAAAAGAATGAAGGAAATGACGGGTATTACGGAAAAAAAAGGAAGAAAAGGCAGATGAGGAAAAGAAAGAAAGGATGAACAGGTAGAAACGGAAAGGAATGAAATAAAATACAGGCAGATACGGAAATGAACGAAATAAAAACATGAGGATACGGACATGAAAAAGAATAGGGGCATAAATAATTGAACGGAAAAAGAGAGAAGGTAGATAAGGAAATAAAAGAAGAAAGAGTCATAGAGAAAATTTAATTAATCTAAAGGCAATGAAGAAAAAGGAATGAAAGAATAGGAAGGGAGGAAAATAAAGCAAGGATTATATAGGGACGAAAATGAATGGAAGTAGTGTTCGGGACACAAATGAATGAAAGAGGAGGCAGGGAGGAAAATGAATGAAGGGAAGGACAGGACAAGAAAATTAATGAAAAAAGTAGTAGGGACAAAAATGAATGATAGAAGGGAAGCGACTAAAATGAATGAATGAAGAGGTGGGAGCAGAAAAGAATGAAAGAAGTGACGGAAAGAATATGAATGAAGGAATGGTAGGGAAAAATTAATGAAAGAAAAATCTTGGACGACAATGAATGAAAGGAAAGGTGGCAACAAATATGAATGAAAGAAGAGGCGGGATGGGAAATGAATGAAAGAAGTGGCAGGAAGCAAAATGAATGAAAGAAGAGGCGGGAAGCAAAATGAATGAAATTAGAGGCGGGAAGCAAAATGAATGAAAGAAGAGGCGGGAAGCAAACCGAATGAAAGAAGAGGCGGGAAGTAAAATGAATGAAATTAGAGGCGGGAAGCAAAATCAATGAAAGAAGAGGCGGGAAGTAGAATCAATGAAAGAAGAGGCAGCGAGAATAATGAAGGGAATGGAAGGGAAGAAAATCAATGATAGAACGGGAAGCGACAAAAATAGATGAATGAAGAGCTGAAAACAAATAAAAAAATGAAAGTAGAGGCAAAAACGAAAATGAATGAAAAGGTGAGGTTGGGATGAAAATGAAGGAAAGAAAAGGCGGAAAGAATATGAATGAAAGTATAATCGGGAAAGGGAATAAAAGAGAAAGCTTGGACGATAAAGAATGAAAGGAGAGGAGGGAAGAAAAATGAATGTAGTATGAGGAGAGGGAGAAAAACGAATGAAAAGAGAGGCAGGGAGAAAAACGAATGAAAAGAGAGGCAGGGAGAAAAACGAATGAAAAGAGAGGCAGGGAGAAAAACGAATGAAAAGAGAGGCAGGGAGAAAAACGAATGAAAAGAGAGGCAAGGAGAAAAACGAATGAAAGGAGAGGCAAGGAGAAAAACGAATAAAAGGAGAGGCAAGGAGAAAAACGAATAAAAGGAGAGGCAAGGAGAAAAACGAATAAAAGGAGAGGCAAGGAGAAAAACGAATGAAAAGAGAGGCAGGGAGAAAAACGAATGAAAAGAGAGGCAGGGAGAAAAACGAATGAAAAGAGAGGCAGGGAGAAAAACGAATGAAAAGAGAGGCAGGGAGAAAAACGAATGAAAAGAGAGGCAGGGAGAAAAACGAGGCAGGTACCAATGGAAGAGGAGACAGCGACGAAAATGAATGAAACAGGAGTTGGAACAAAATGAATGGAATAACACGCAGACGAGGAAGAGAAGAATATGAAAGAAACATGAGGCATGAACAAAATGAATGAAATAATAGTGGGGGACATAACTAAATGAAAGAAAAAGCTGGGTCGAAAATGAATGAAAGAAGTGTTGGGAAAATATGAATGAAAGGAGAGGCAGGAACAATTATGAAAAAATGAAGGAATGAAAATGAATGAAAGAAAGCCATTGATGGGAACAAATATGAATAACAGATGAGGTAGGGAAGAAAATGAAAGAGAGAAAATGCAGGAATTAAAATAAATGAAAGAATAGGCGGGAAGAAAATTGAATGAAAGAAGAGGCACTTTATGACATGAATGTAAGAAATGCAGGGACGAAAATGAATGCTAGAATTCACAGGTACGAAATGAATGAATGAAGAAGCAGTGATGATAATGAATGGAAGTAATATGCAGGAACGAAAATAAATGATGGAAAGAAAGGGAAAAAATGATTGAAATAAGAGACAGGGATGAGAATTAATGATAGAAGCGACAGAGACAAAAAAGAAATGAAGGAAAACGGTGGATGAATGGAAATGAATTTAAGCATTGGAATTGATGAGGAGGCATGAAAGATAATAAATGAAAGATGAACCGCGAACAAAAAAAATGAAAGAATAGGCATGGACGAAAATGAAGGGATGAAGAGAAAGGGAGGAAACTAGATGAAAGAAGAGGCAGGGACGGAAATGAAAGAATGAAGAGGAGGGAATGAAACTAAATGAAAGAAGAGGCAGGGACGGAAATGAAAGAATGAAGAGGAGGGGATGAAACTAAATGAAAGAAGAGGCAGGGACGGAAATGATAGAATGAAGAGGAGGGGATGAAACTAAATGAAAGAAGAGGCAGGAACGGAAATGAAAGAATGAAAGAGGGGAGAAAACTAAATGAAAGAAGAGGCAGGGACGGAAATGAAAAAGAATGAAGAGGAGGGGATGAAACTAAATGAAAGAATAGGCATGGACGGAAATGAAAGAATGAAGAGGAGGGGAGAAAACTAAATGAAAGAAGAGGCAGGGACGGAAATGAAAGAATGAAGAGGAGGAATGAAACTAAATGAAAGAAGAGGCAGGGACGGAAATGAAAGAATGAAGAGGGGGAGAAAACTAAATGAAAGAAGAGGCAGGGACGGAAATGAAAGAATGAAGAGGAGGGAATGAAACTAAATGAAAGAAGAGGCAGGGACGGAAATGAAAGAATGAAGAGGAGGGGATTAAACTAAATGAAAGAAGAGGCAGGGACGGAAATGAAAGAATGAAGAGGAGGAATGAAACTAAATGAAAGAAGAGACAGGGACGGAAATGAAAGAATGAAGAGGAGGGGATGAAACTAAATGAAAGAAGAGGCAGGGACGGAAATGAAAGAATGAAAGGAGGATGAAACTAAATGATAGAAGAGGCAGGGACGGAAATGAAAGAATGAAGAGGAGGGAATGAAACTAAATGAAAGAAGAGGCAGGGACGGAAATGAAAGAATGAAGAGGAGGGGTGAAACTAAATGAAAGAAGAGGCAGGGACGGAAATGAAAGAATGAAGAGGAGGGGATTAAACTAAATGAAAGAAGAGGCAGGGACGGAAATGAAAGAATGAAGAGGAGGGAATAAAACTAAATGAAAGAAGAGGCAGGGACGGAAATGAAAGAATGAAGAGGAGGGGATGAAACTAAATGAAAGAAGAGGCAGGGACGGAAATGAAAGAATGAAGAGGAGGGGATGAAACTAAATGAAAGAAGAGGCAGGGACGGAAATGAAAGAATGAAGAGGAGGATGAAACTAAATGAAAGAAGAGGCAGGGACGGAAATGAAAGAATGAAGAGGAGGGGATGAAACTAAATGAAAGAAGAGTCAGGGACGGAAATGAAAGAATGAAGAGGAGGGAATGAAACTAAATGAAAGAAGAGGCAGGGACGGAAATGAAAGAATGAAGAGGAGGGGATGAAACTAAATGAAAGAAGAGGCAGGGACGGAAATGAAAGAATGAAGAGGAGGGGATGAAACTAAATGAAAGAAGAGGCAGGGACGGAAATGAAAGAATGAAGAGGAGGGAATGAAACTAAATGAAAGAATAGGCATGGACGGAAATGAAAGAATGAAGAGGAGGGGAGAAAACTAAATGAAAAGAAGAAGAGGCAGGGACGGAAATGAAAGAATGAAGAGGAGGGAATGAAACTAAATGAAGAGGCAGGGACGGAAATGAAAGAATGAAGAGGGGGGAGAAAACTAAATGAAAGAAGAGGCAGGGACGGAAATGATAGAATGAAGAGGAGGGGATGAAACTAAATGAAAGAAGAGGCAGGAACGGAAATGAAAGAATGAAGAGGAGGGGAGAAAACTAAATGAAAGAAGAGGCAGGGACGGAAATGAAAGAATGAAGAGGAGGGGATGAAACTAAATGAAAGAATAGGCATGGACGGAAATGAAAGAATGAAGAGGAGGGGAGAAAACTAAATGAAAGAAGAGGCAGGGACGGAAATGAAAGAATGAAGAGGAGGGAATGAAACTAAATGAAAGAAGAGGCAGGGACGGAAATGAAAGAATGAAGAGGGGGGGAGAAAACTAAATGAAAGAAGAGGCAGGGACGGAAATGAAAGAATGAAGAGGAGTGGATGAAACTAAATGAAAGAAGAGGCAGGGACGGAAATGAAAGAATGAAGAGGAGGGGATTAAACTAAATGAAAGAAGAGGCAGGGACGGAAATGAAAGAATGAAGAGGAGGGGATGAAACTAAATGAAAGAAGAGGCAGGAACGGAAATGAAAGAATGAAGAGGAGGGGATTAAACTAAATGAAAGAAGAGGCAGGGACGGAAATGAAAGAATGAAGAGGAGGGAATGAAACTAAATGAAAGAAGAGGCAGGGACGGAAATGAAAGATTGAAGAGGAGGGGATGAAACTAAATGAAAGAAGAGGAAGGGCTGGAAATGAAAAGGCGGAAACAAAAATTATTGAAATAAGAGGCAAGGATAAATGAATGAAAGAAGAGGTAGTGGCATGAAGAAGTAGAGGCATGAACGAATGTGAATGAAAAAAAAGAGGCAGCTACGTAAATGAAAGAGGGAAAAGGCAGAACGTGTATGTGTGAAAAAGAAGGGTAGGACGAAAATGAATGAAAGCAAGTTCAGGGACAAAATGTGTGAAGAAGAGCAGGGACGTAAATGAAGGGAATTCGTGGCAAAGACGTAAATGAAGGAATGACGTGGCAAGGACGTGGCAAGGCCGTAAATGATGGGAGGATGTGTCAAGAACGCAAATGAAGGGAAGACGCGGCAGGGACGTAAATGATCGGAGGACGTGGCAAGGACGTAAATGATGGGAGGACGTAGCAGGGACGCAAATGAAGGGAAGACGCGGCAGAGACGTAAATGATGGGAGGACGTGGCAAGGACGTAAATGATGTGAGGACGTAGCAGGGACGTAAATGATGGGAGGACGTAGCAGGGACGCACATGATGGGAGGACGCGGCAGGGACGTACATGAAGGGAAGACGTTGCTGGGACGTACATGAAGGGAAGACGTTGCAGGGACGTACATGAAGGGAAGACGTGGCAAGGACGTACATGAAGGAAAGAAATGGTAGGGACGAAGTGAATGAATGGTGAAGCAGGGGCGAAAATGAATGTAAGCGGAGTCTAAGATGAAAACGAAAAAGTATCAGTGACGAAAATGAATGAATGATGAACCGATTGCGAAGATAAATGAAACTGGGGGGGGGGGCGAAAATGAATGAAGCAAGAGGAATATGAAATAAAACGAGTTAGAAACGTCTATGAATGAGAGAAAAGACATGGGAATGAATTAAAAAGCAGAGACGAAATGAATGAAGGAGGAGAGACGGTCGAAAATTAATAGAATATGAGGCAGTTATGAATATGTATTAAAGTGATATAAGTTTAATAAGCAAAATGGAATAAATTAAAAAAAAACAATGCGAATATATTTCTTTATTTTACATAAAGAATAAATGTTAAAATGAAAGCAGTCAAAATCGACTAAACATGAAAATTATAGTATGGAATAAGGCAATTCAGAAAATTGGTTCAAGAAAAATGAAAGGAAATTGACAAATCAAATTAAAGAAAGGAAGAAACTAATGAAGACAATAAAATGAATTATTAAATTGATTAAAATAGTAGAAATGATAGTAAATGGAGGACTCAGAAATTTCGGAAGGAAAGAAAAGTCAACAGGTAAACGAAAAAAAGGTGCAGCAAGGTAAAAGGAAGAGAAATGCTGAAAGGATATCGGACAAAAACATAAATGAAAAAAGAATCGAGAAGATGAAAATAAAAATAAGTATAGAAATATCCAAGGAAGAAAAAAAAAAATTATTGAATGGAAAAAAAACCCCGAAAGAAAACATAGGATTAGAAGGCTAAATGATTTACCCTGATTAGAAATGGGAATGAAATAAACGAAATAGGAGAAACCGAGAAACGAGCAAAGGAAGGAAAGAAAAAAAAAACCTTTAAATGTTAAAGAAAGCGGAAACCGACGAAATAATGCATATTAAAGTCATCTTCTGACTCATATATCAGCCATTTTGCCATTTGTTCTGCTAACATTTTCTGCAGAATGAATGATATAACGTCGTTGTTATGGTCACGTCATCGTCGACTATTGAGACAAGGAATACACAGAACGGATCCCCTTGAGACTCTGGACATGTGTCTTTAACTTTGTTGCGTCTCTTTTATCCTCTCCATTTTTCTTTTGTGATAACTTCTCCGCTCCCTGCCGGATTGTTGTAATCGAGCCATTTCGATGTTGAATAAGACTGACCTGGTCAGCTATTGTCTTCATTACTGCTAGTTTTCGCTTGGCATATTGGAGTTAATAAATTACTCGTATCAATTCTACGTATGAGGAGGCGTAGAATTTGTCAAGACAGAAAACACTACTGGACAGTTCGAAATCCAGTTAATAATGCTTGTTTTCGCAACAGTTCTCTGGGTAAAGGCATGAAACCACTTCCCGCAGAAGACTGTATTGCAACATAATACTTGATCGGAGTAAACCTGTTTTAATGGGATCTTATGTGTTTCTTTTTAATTATTTTTCCATTTTAGCTTACCAAATGCAACGACCAAGGCAAAAGCCAAAACCGTATGTCATGAGGATAGACATCGGTTAACTTTAGACTTGAAGATGTTACAGTTGCTGTGGTTAAGAATTTTCCATTTGGGAGTTGGTTTAACAAAGTAAAACTCCTGGGGAAGGTGCTGTCAAAGTAGAACTTATTACTTACGAAATGGAAGGGACTGATTTGCTGTTAACATCTGCCTTGATAGTGCTGATGAATGTAACTCATTAGAATATTTGCGATAGTAAAAGCGATCGAATTTTGAGAGGATAGTAACGTTTCGGCTATTGGATAATACATCACCCTCATGATCGCGTCAATGCTTTTGTACTCTCACAAGATTAAACAGGACTGAGCAGGCAGCACCAGTTCAGTTATGCCAAAAATTCTTTGTCTTATCTGACTCTGGTAAGTATTATTGGTAGTATACCAAATTAATTGCTGTAAAATTGTACTACTGAACTTTGAGAGTTACAATCGCAAGATTCATTTTATACAAAGCTTATGTTAAATTCATTATGTTGAATTGTGATTTCAGTTTACAGATTCAGAAACAGATAACGTAATTGTATGAACTTTTAAAACTTCATGGATATTGTTGTGGCTACCTAATATCACAACATTATTAGGCTAATTGCCCTGAACATGTGTTCAAACTCAATCTTACTCTCGACCTCAAGTGGAACTCATATATACGCGCGATCGCTGAAGGTTCTGCAAAAATAGTTTCTTCCTTGTATCATTCACCTTCCATGAACTATTTTACAAGTGTCGTGTCAGACGAAGAACGAAGTATTTCTGACATAACTGGTCTGGATTTGTTCAATTCTAACTCTCTAACCATGAGGGAATTCAAAAGTAATTACATATGTGCATAATTATTTCTAATCTAAAGCCTCTTTTCATGAGACGAAATTTGCTAGCCTCTCACTACTTTACAAGCTCAAACTGGTTAAGTTCCGTGGTTCTACCAGTCGAGACATTCACAGCTAGAACCTGCAGTGTTATGCACACAGGGTCCATGTCCTCGCGCCTTGTATATTTCATTGCTTGATGGAATGAAGTAATGCAAGCAAATGGTAGCCTGTATTTACTTAAGCGATCATGAAGCTGTACACTGCTTATATATATATATATATATATATATATGTGTGTGTGTGTGTGTGTGTGTGTTATTCAGACTGTAGCTGTCATCTTTTTTGTTATATTCACTTCTTTTTTGGCCGTTGTACGCTCCAGCCTACATCAAGTGATAGCAAATTCGAATCGAACACTTTATTTCGTCGTCCGGGTAATATTGTTCTAGTTCCACTTGCCATGCCACTTCAAGGAAACATGGCTCAGTGGATAAAAAGTAATTCAGTGAATTGACCCAAAACTGTTGCGATTTCAATACCTGGCCACAGCAAATGCGAACAAAAAACACTTGGAAAGTTGAGTGACTAAGGAAATATGTTTTTATATATATATATATATATATATATATATATATATATATATATATATATATATACGTATCGGAATTAGTTGTATATACAGAAAACAACAACTCATTAATTCGGCAATAAACTTCTTTGGAATAGTCCCACTCTGAAGTCCACCTTTTATCCAGCGTTTACATTCATGGAAGAATTACTGCAACTCCATTTTGAGGATAGCGAGCACTTGCCTCGCGGCACTCTTGCATTTGTTCGATGTCTTGAAATCTGGGGAATATTGTGATTATCAAACCAGGGGAATAATCTCCTTGGCCAAAAACTGCTATTCAAGCCATATTAACTGATAGAACCTGTGTGGTACGGTGAAACGTCTACACTATACACACTTCCCTGCAAAGCTCTGCTGGGAACAACGGTAGCGTGCGAAAAATGTATAACTTAGTGTTTATATTCGACAGTGTTCTTAGACAATCTGTGTTAAGCGGCTTCCCTTTGCATACTTATGCTCCGTTTCATATGTTCTCGATATTAATCAAACCCTATATATATATATATATATATATATATATATATATATATATATATAATGAATTAAGAAAAAAAAATGCCTACAGTGTATGGGAAAAAATCGGAATTTGAAATTAATACAGAACAATAACAAACGCATTAAAAGACACAGTAAAATATTCTGAATTTGCAGAAATTCGTATACACAGTAATTTAACCACGCTGACGATGTTCTCAGATGAGACTAAAAGTAGTTGGAAAAATAAAAATTATTTGAAAAAAAACTTTTGCTATTTTTCTTAATCAATTTTCTATGGGGACCACGAAAATGATTCGTGAACTAGCTTGACGTGCCTTTACCGATTTGGCCACAGAGGAGCGTTCAGTTAGCAAGGTCGAATTTACTGTATTTAAACTTCAATCTTCCATGAATCTCTCACGTATATTCATATCTGCTCATGGCGTATCAAATGTAAACAAATGACGTCACACATTATGAAATGGACAAAGTCCGACAATTATTTTTAGACATTTTTATGTTTATACATTCTTTTATAGATACAAATATTTAAGTAAACAATATTAAACAACATTTACCGGCCTGAAAGTCCGAGAAATTTTAACCGAACGCTCCTCTGTGGCACGTCAAGCTAAATGACGGTTCCGTAGAGGATACAGGTTCGAATCCTGTCGGAGGACGAATATTTTCTGTGAAAATTTCTCGGACATTTATGCCGGTAAATGTTGTTTAATACCGTTTACTATAAATAGCATTTACTTAAATATTTGTATCAATAAAAAGAATGTATGAACATAAAAATGTCTTTTATACATATATATATATATATATATATATATATATAGATATATATATAGAGAGAGAGAGAGAGAATATAGAGTTTAACTAATACTGATTTAAGTGAGAGTAGTAAAGTTTGGGGATACTATGGGATATAGTTAATCTCCAAGTACTGCTTTGTCATTTCAGCGAATATGAAGGGAGCATTTTTGTTCTAAAATGAGTGGGTGTAGCAATTGTTATCGGCATGAAAATTCGTATCAGTAACCTGTTGTCTTTCAGTTCCCCAGTGAAAGAGATGAATACAACATTCCACGCTCCAAATATATATTAAATATCAAGTTAGACTGAGTTGTGTAGCCTTTTGTGGCGGTCAGTCTAAAGAATGCAATAGGAATGCAGTCCATGAAATGGAATCTACAGATAGACACAACTGACTAAATCCTGAAGCAGCATGGCATTTAAGAATAAATTTTATTATATTCACATACATTGTTCATTTTGAGTTATTTTTCCTTATATCTGCCGCTAAGACAGATCGAAGGGAAAACATGTTTATAACGTTATTAATTTTATAATAGTACGAAATCAATTATACCAGAAAATTTGAGAACTGCGACAATAAAGCAAGCGAAATAAAATTCATAAATATTTCATTTTATTTCCGATTTATTGAACCTAATCTTTTCTGGTAACAGCAGCGGCTGGCACTGCTTGTCTCTTGAACCAAACAGAAACAAGACAAACTCGAAAAAAACTAGAAAAGCACTGCTTAGAATCTTAAATGAGCAAAAGAAAATAACC